GATACGGAGGATCATGGCACGGCAGCAACACAAGCAACTTCACCAGCACAAGTTTCAGAAATACCAGCTCAAGCAGACACAGAACCTGAATCGACCCCTGTGCACTCCACTCCTCAACAAACCACATCTACTACTTTTGAGGACCCGGATCACCCCATCATAACTCCAATCCCTCTAACTCATGAGCGGAAATGGACGAAGGCACATCCTGCAGAACAAATTATTGGAGATCCGAGTCGTGGAGTTTGCACAAGAACGGCTACAGCAAATGAATGTCTCTTCTCCTGCTTCATCAGCCAATTTGAGCCAACCAAAGTTTCTGAAGCACTGGCAGATCCTGACTGGGTAATCGCAATGCAGGAGGAGATCAATCAGTTTGAAAGATTAGATGTATGGACCCTGGTGCCAAGACCCCCAAAGAAAACAATAATTGGCACCAAGTGGGTTTTCAAGAACAAGAAGGATGAAGACGGTGTAATTATAAGGAACAAAGCCCGACTGGTTGCAAAAGGGTACAACCAACAAGAAGGAATTGACTATGATGAAACCTTTGCACCAGTGGCCAGAATTGAAGCAATCAGGTTGTTCCTTGCTTATGCTGCTCATAAGAGTTTCACCGTCTATCAAATGGATATAAAGACTGCGTTTTTGAATGGAGAACTGAAAGAAGAAGTTTACGTGGCACAACCAGAAGGCTTTGTTGATCCTGAACGTCCACATTATGTCTACAAGCTGAAGAAAGCTCTGTATGGACTAAAACAGGCACCGAGAGCCTGGTATGATGCACTATCTGATTTTCTTGTGCAATCAGGCTACTCGAAGGGAAAGATAGATCCAACTCTTTTCATCAAGCGAGAGAACAGTGACATCATGCTGATACAAATCTATGTCAATGACATCATATTCGCCTCGTCCAATCCGAACTTCTGCGAAGAATTCAGCAACTTGATGCGCACTGAGTTTGAAATGAGTATGATGGGAGAGTTGAACTTCTTTCTAGGGCTACAGATCAAGCAATTGCCAGACGGAATTTTCATCAGCCAGTCGAAGTACATCCATGAAATGCTCAAAAGATTCAAGATGGACAGCAAGTCAACCATGAAAACCCCCATGTCTCCCTCACAAAAGCTCGACTCTGACCCTTCCGGGATATCAGTCGATGCTACCAACTATCGGGCGATCATCGGTTCCTTGCTGTACCTGACATCTAGTAGACCGGATATTGTCTTTGCAACGTGTCTGTGCGCTCGCTTTCAAGCAAATCCAAAGGAATCACATCTGAATGCAGTAAAGAGAATCCTGAGATACCTGAAAGGAACAGTCAACTTAGGACTTTGGTATCCCAAGGACACGGGTTTTGACCTTGTTGGTTACTCAGATGCTGATTTCGCAGGTTGCAAGTTAGACAGAAAGAGTACATCCGGTGGTGCTCAATTTCTGGGAGAGAAGCTAGTCTGTTGGTCCTCCAAGAAGCAGAACTGCGTGTCAACTTCTACAGCCGAAGCAGAATACGTTGCGGCTGCTAGTTGCTGTTCACAAATCCTATGGATGAGGACACAACTCAGAGACTATGGCTTCCTATTCAACCATATTCCCATCTACAGTGACTCCCAGAGTGCAATTGCCATAACCAGCAACCCCGTTCATCACTCGCGCACCAAGCACATCGACCTGCGCTATCACTTCATCAAGGACCATGTGGAGAAAGGAGATGTTGATTTATACTTTGTTAACACCGAGCTTCAACTGGCTGACATATTTACTAAGGCACTGGATGAAAAGAGATTCCAGTTCCTAGTATCTAAGTTAGGCATGTTGAATCTCGATCCTATGTAATTGTGTTATCTTCATGGTCTGAATAAAATGTGTGTGTGTGTGGTGTGCGTTGCATGTGTTGAGGGGGAGAAAAGGGAGAAAATAAAACAAGAAGAAGTTTGTTCATACTTTAAGGGGGAGAAAATCTGAAAACAAAAGAAAGTCAGAAAAAGAGTGTGTGTGTGAAAAAATCAGAAAATATGAAGAAAAAGAGTGAGTGTACATTTTTTTCTCTCTCATGCACAATTTGAGGGGGAGTTTTTTTTTGTACAGAAATAAACCTTCGGGGCCCAAAAATAATTTTTAAAACTGAACATGGCCCAGCTCTTCTGGACAGAGCTCATAGATCAGGTGAAAATAAAGGAGAACAACAAGGGTAGCACAATCCCTTACGCTAGGTGGCTGGCACTGATGATCCACAACATGATGGAGGCCACCCCTACTATTCCAAAGCGTAAGGGAGATGATCACTTCACCGCCCCAAAACTCAAGTACTTTCAGAGACACAGCAATAAAGCTGAAGCACTGCCAATTCCGGATTCCCTGCTCAATCTAGCAAACCCGAGGGATAAGGCAGTCGTCGACTACAAAGAGTCGCTGAAGAGAACGGTCCCTATGGTTCAGCAAAACCCAGCTGGACCTTCCCAGGGGACCAAGCCTAGTGAGGGTGGTAAGAAGAAGAGAGCCCCGCCACAGAAACCAGTGGCAACTCGGCCTAATGATGATCAGTCTGCTAACTCTTCCGAGAGGACCCAGACTGCTGAGGGCCACCCTATCAATGCTGAGGACACTGCCGATGAACCATCAAACCAGGCCCCTTCTAATAAGGCTGGTGGTGAGGCCTCCGATAGCATGGCCAAGGGAAATGAGCGAGATGATGATGATGATGATGCAGACGATAATGATGATGATATGGAGGGAGTCCTGATCAGCAACAGGAAAAGAGCCGGAAAGAAGGCCATCCGAATCGACTCCGACTCCTCATCAGAAGATATGGAGGCTGCACTCACACCCCGACCACTCAAGGGGATCATCATTAGTGAGCAGCGCTCTAAGCAAAAAAGTGATAAGTTTGCATCATCCAAGCCTAAGAAGAGGCTAAGAAAGAAGAGTTCACTGGAGGAGGAGCTGGCACTATACGATGACTGTGACACCTTCGTCACCATAGACCGAACCACGCCCCTAGGAGCAGGAGCTGACCTTGTCAGTTCCCGGGTAGAAGTCGCAGCATCCGGTTCAACTGCGCATGCACAGCCATCTCCCATCCACTCTCCAGTCTCCCAACAGACTGGAGTTTCAATGACACAAGGGGAACTTACACCGGCCTCACTGATTCCCTCCGAATCTGCTGAGAGACTTAGTGGTCAACAGCCCCGGACCACTACCCCCATCCGTTCTATCACATCGAGTCTAGGTGTCACCATTCCTACATTTTCACATTTCTCTAGGACACCTACACTATTCACTGTACATACAGGTGCACTCACCCTGAATGCAACGACCGGAGTGCAAACTATGATGGTCGGAAGCCCTGCTACGCCAACAATGCCTCGATCATTGAATGCAGGCCACACATCAGCTATCTTCACTGATGTTGTGACAACAGTTACAACCCCTGTAACTGGTACCACCATTCCCGAAGACATTCTCGTATATCTGAATAGCTTTCTAGAGTCTACCATTAAACCATGGGTGCATGAAGCAATAACCGCTAATGCACAAGACTCTGGAAGTACCCCAGTTGTTCAGGATATACCACCCAAACCCCAAACAACACAGCCCCCAACCATTTCCATTCCTATTTTCAAACCCTTAGCCATAGAAAACCAACAACCATCCACATCAAGGGGAACCCAGGATACAGAACTAGTATTCTCCCCTACAACGACCAAACCCGACCTAAAAACCGTACCCTTCGAGGATCTTGTAGCTGAGATCTACGACCGTATACTAGACGTGGAAGAAGGCAACCTCACCCCTCTTCAAAAAGCCCTTCTCCATGCTCTAGATACACAGAACACATGCCGTGACAGTCTCCGTGGCGCTAAACGTTCACATGAGGATCCCGATGATTCAGATTCTCATGAGGGGGAGAACAAGCGCCAGCGGATACTTGAGCATGTTGCTTCTACTAGCCAACCCTCAAAACCAAACCAACCCTCTACCTCTACCAATGAACAACCCCCTACTTCAGCCAGCCAAAAATCCCTAGCCTCTCTCTCTAGCATGGTCGAGCTAGACAAAACATTCCGAGGCGCATCTCCTATAGATGTTGACCAAGGATGGAATGGAAGTCCTGATGATGCTACCACGAGTACATCTTCCTACTCAGGCCATCAGCTAGAACCTAGTTCGAACCTGATGTCAACGGGCAATCCTGAGGATCCCGGATTCACCCAGTCTCAGCCAAGGAAGGATTGGCCGCATGTAACGAAGTATAGAGGTCTGGTCTCTGCGCAAGAGCATCGTGTTGAGATAATTGAGGATCCCTGCAAGTCTCACGTGGATCCCGATGCTACGCCCGACATGTCGCCACGGCAGCAGCAGGCTCCCTCCAGCTACTACAATGATCAAATGCACGATGAACTTGAGGAAATGCTGGTGCACAACAAATGGTCTGAACTCTGGACAGATGTAGATGAATCACAGTGAAGAGCATACCTCAGAGATCTTTTAGTCAACTGTGCTACTGATGTGATTTTACTTGATCAAGATGAACTCAAGGAGGGAGAGAACTACGAGACACCACCCAAGGAGCTTGAGTCGATCATTAGACAAACGGCGGCTCAAATGCCCAGAAATGAGAAGCCCTGGGAAAAGATCGACATCAACGCCCCCTTTCAAGAGGAAATCAGAGAAAACATCTGGCGAAAAGAGGATAAGGTCAGAGAACTGGACGAACTGAAGATCCGTGGTCTCAACCATCTACGAGGACAAAACAAGGGCGGACAGCTGTTTCTACTTAGTCATCACTACATGGGAAAACAGAGAGAAGTCTGGCAACACAAACTTCAAACTGCCAAGGAACCAGTCTGGGCTGTTCTCAATGTGGCCGAAACCAACTTTCAAGATATCAAACTCTCTGTCTACCATCTACAGCGCTCTGACGGAACTGAATTCACGTGCAAGGAAAATGATCTCTACATGCTAAAGATGGATGACATCTATCAGATGTATCTTGCATTCCAGGAAATTCCAGGCATTCGTGACAAAACTGCACAAAACGGGCTGGATGCACTCAAGCGCTTTATGATCAGACAAATCAAATTCTTTGCCTCTCATGATCTTCAGATGGCTCTTGAAACAAACATGCCAAAGACAAATCTCACAAGACCGAAGCTCTATCGACAAGAATTGGAGGACTTTCCTGAGTATTACATCTTTGATAGTCCAATCACGCTTATCTATCTGAATCACAATGGTGAGAAACGCATGTTATTCATTGATGAAATTAACAAGTACTGTGACAGAACCCTGAAGATTGTGAAAGAAAAGCTGCAACCTATCAGAGAAGCATTTAAAGAAAGACAGCAAAAGTATGCAGATGCCACAAATGCTGAATTAAAAGAGGCACACAGAATTGACAACATTTTACAAGCCATCGAAAGGCAACTGGATAGAAGAAATTCACTCACGAGCTATGAGCATGCACTTAATCTCAGAAAGAATTATTACAAAGCTCAGAAGTGAAGAAACCCAGCAAGACGGCACTTGACCACAAAGGGGGAGATTGTTAGAACTTTTATTGTGGGTCAAGTTTGTCTGTAATGTCTTGTTTAATAAAGTAGACTAGTTATACCATTTATGGTATTAGATTAGTAATCATTATGTAATAAATAGGTTAAAGGGAATAAGGCCCAAAAAGGCCTTGGCCCAACTTCCAAGGTTTACCTAAATCGGTAACCTGTACAGCGCCTATAAATATGCGCCTTGTGTACAGGTGCCGATATCGATCAATACACTTTAGCCTTACGCTGCCAAAATACTTCTCGATATAATAGAAAGGCGATTTCCAAGTTCTCGACATTGCATAAATCATTCTGGGTAATCGTTCTTCTCTGTTTGTCGATGATATCCATCTAGCTGTGCGTTAGTCTGCATAAACTGGGACCAACAATGTTGTTTGGCCTATGATAGGCGTGGTAGCCCATACCTTCTGCTCGAGATGCTCTAAGCCCGGGGGACTTATTTATTTGATGTTCGACATGCCGCTCGGCATTCTCCTGAACAAGCTTGTTGGTCCTCCGACCCCTTCCCCGAGATGTTTGACCACGCGTCCACTGCTGATTGGCCGTTGGAACGACAATGCGTGTATATATATATATATATATATATATATATATATATATATGAAAACTGAATTCCTTTCCTTTTATCCGCTTCCATGTTAAGCAAAGAAACCCTACAGATTTTCCCTCTCTAAGTCCTCGCTCTTGGGTATTCCTTCACCCCTTTGGCAAGTCTTTGATTTAGGATATTCTGTCATGTCTCATTCAGGCTCATCCACTTCTTCAGAGAAGGAGGAGATTGTCCTGATTCGCCGGAGTATCGGAAAGGGTGATCTGTCACATCGTATGATAACATCCTCCATTATGGACACGAATTCACCGTCTGATTCACTCCCCCGGCTGAAGGACAACAGTTTCCTGATGGCAGATGTTGTTCGGGGGATGTTTACTCAATCTATCAGCGCGGGATTCCCGAGCGCCCCCGTGTGTGGCCCTTAATTTCATTGTCGTGCGACGTCAGAAACAAAATTTGTCCGCGGAAGCAGTATGTCAGGTCGAGCAGCTACTTCCACCCCTCGACAATTCATTATGAGCTTCATCCGACACCTGATGAGGCACCGAGTGGGACATGTTCTTGTCCATTTGGATTCTGTCATAGCCGGATTGTGCTTTCCCCTGCATCCGCTTATAATAGAGTTTCTCCGCCAGCTTTTGGTGCTCCTGACCCAGTTTGTGCCAGGGATCGTTTGATAAAGTTCCATCTATTCCAAATATAGCTAGAATTGGTCTTCCAAAGCTTATCCAACGACTTAGATGATATTTCCTTTATTACACTTGAAATATGTGACAATGTATAATACCTAATAATTCATACCTTAACAATTTGCCCCTTTCGAGAAGTTGAGACGTATGAGTGCACATGTCAATCCATCTATCATCAACTTTTCAAAACTTTTGAAAGAGCATGTACTTCACATCCTTTGTTATTGCGTCTATCGATTTGTCATCCGTCTGATGAAACGCTTCTGTGCATCCGTCACTCGCCTGATGAAACGCTTCCGTCCATTTTCTTGCAATTAGCTTCCGATCAAATCTGTCTCTTTGATTGAAGTGATTAAGAACGAAGCAGAGATCATATCTTCTTTCCTCTAAGGTTGTGCTAATGACTAGACACTGGTGAAATAGAACTTCATGCATGCTGATGTTGATACTTTAGTTGGCAAGGGCGACTTCATCCCTCATTTGACAAATCACATTTGGCTCCATGATTGTGACTGCATGATATCCATCAAAAACTTTGAACACTATTTTGTTTGTGCGTTTAGTTATATTGTCAACCTAAACATGAATGTTTGGGGTTCATGTCGATGTCATTCATGTAACCTTCTTCTATTTTGGAGTTTCTTGTTGTTTCATGTTATGCTTTTGAAACACGTGTTTCTGTGATGTAATTTTTGTATAGTTTGGCCAAAACATTGCATAGAATCAATGGTGTTTCCATTTGTGTTTAGAAGACATGAAAAAACCAATTTTCCCCTTATAATTATGTAAGCCCCATCATTACGTTTTGACGTTTCTGTATAAGTTTATTCGACGTGTGTCAGGACACTGCCATCGTCAATTGTTGACTGTTCTTGTGCAAAAAGAATTTGCTAAGCTTGGATATTGGTTAAAAGCCAATGGCCCTCTGATGATTAAGTTAATGGTTATTTATATGTAAAGGAAAGTAGTAAATTAAACAATTAAACATGAAATAACTTGAAGTGTACCACATTGCATCTTCTCAAAACATGTCTGCCGTCTTGAGCTTCTGAGCAACATGTCACATGTCCGACGATTTCAATGATCTTGTCTGGCCTTTCTCATCATGAATGTGATTACTTGTTCATCGGGTTCTACCTTCTGGGAGAACTTCTGATATCGTCATGAAGAGGGGATTACGATGACTTCATGATATCGTCGATTCTGAGTGGGGAATGGAAGAACATGAGGTTCTGATCAAATCTTCTATTATGATCAAATCTTGTAGTCCTGCCTCTTGTGAGAGTCCGACTCCCTATGCCCCCATCATACTTAAACTGCCTACGTCATGATCGTAAGTCTTCCTCTAGACGGATGAAAGCTAACATCTTTGGTTGGACATCTTTGAAGGAATGACTAGGGTATATTGTTAACTCCCGATAGAGCTCAAAATCTTCGAATAGGCCTCTCCCAAATGACTCAATAGTTGTGGGGATATCACATGTAGGAATTGACACCTTTCCTTTGTTGAACCTATGCAAGTAGTCTCTAAGAGGCTCACCTCCTCACTATGTAACTCTATAAAGGTCGCCAGTTTGCCTCTCCAACACCCTGTTACTTGCGAATGGCTGATTGAAAAGATTGACGAGTTCAGCAAATGAACGGATGCCCTCGTTCAAATGATTCACAAACCATGTCTGGGGAGGACTAGTCAACGACATGTCGAATGCCTGGAACATACATGCCTCTCCTTGTGTTCAGGTCTGACAGAGACGGTTAACATCCTTTGTTTGTATTGCACGATATGTTCTCCAGGTTTGAGGTTTTGTCAAATAGTTCCATGCTTGGTATGTCAAATTTCTTCGGCATCTCAACATGGGTGATTGAACCGTCAAATGACGACTCGTCATAACACGTTTGAGATGTTATGTCAAGTGGAGGAGGGACTCCCAAGATCCACATTATCTTCTCTTGAATCTGGCGTAGCTGAGCAAAGACAATTGTCGTGGGATCTGTCATGACGGTTTTCAGGTGACATGTAGTGGTAGTCATGAGACTGTAGGTACTGTGTGTCGGACGACTGACAACTGTCATTGTAGGACCGTCCGTCTGAGTACATTCTGGTCTAATTGAAGAGGGGATTACGATGACTTCATGATATCATCGATTATGAGTGGGGAATGGAAGAACGTAAGGTTATAACAAGGACAAAATGACATTCGATGTAGAAAGTTTTTAAGTGACAGGTTGCAGATTGGAAGTTATAGTCCCGATGCTAATAGAAACCGAAAAGTAACATCGTCGTATAGTGCGAGCGGTGTGGATATTCGATGTTAACTGGTGTAAGGTATAACACGGGATGCCACCAGAGACTCGGGTTGGTTGAATGAGGATAGCCCTCTGTTTGGTGAGATGGAGTCAATGGTGGTCGGAATTGGATCCGTCGTGACAATGACAGAACTCAGGTTCAGCCTTGTCACAATAGTTGATGTCTCGCCTCTCTTGAAATTCCTAGAACTAGAAGCTATAGATGCAATAAACCGAACACGCGATTGTAGGAGGTTGCTTTCTTCTTGAATGTAAGCGATTTTAATGCCATTTCCTGCTTCATCTCCTCCTTCATCGTCTCTATTTGCTTTCGGACTTCTGTCATTATAGCTGAGCTTTGATCTTTCATGAGATAATTTTTCTTGCACGTTCCCACAAACAATGCCAAATTGTTTAAGCAATTTTTTGTAAATTCATACAATCAAATAGATGAAAAAGATATATTGGGCTACTTAAAAATGTAGTTTACTATTAGAAAGAATTAAGAGAATTATATTGATTGACATATAAGAAATAAAAGTAATATAAATATCTTGATAGCAATTGAATATGTGTTTAAGTCTATATGTTTTGTTATATGAGATTACATTGTATGAGATTACATTGTTATATGTTTTGTTATATGAGATTACATTGTATATATAGAGTTAGAGATAAGCTTCCTAACTAATCTCGTGCTCCTCCTCTTATTCCATTCGTTTTCCACAAGAATAGGCCTCCAATAACCACTTCACTCTTATATATTCCAAACCAGTTTTCCGACGCGCGTTGCGCGTTTGGAATAATGTCCAACACTGTACCATTGACTATGTAAGTAATAGGATTGTGAGTCCAACAAAATCATCTAGTCTTCCAAATTAAGGGTCCTAAGGGTCCAAAATCATTCTAATCCTAAGGGTCAGACATCTTAGGACTAAGAACTCAGGAATTTGGGTGAAAAATGCTTAGATAGTCGTCTCTCCTAATTACATAAGATACTAAGATCCATTTTATTGACATTTGACCGTGATCGATAAAACCGACATCAAATCTATTCAATGCTAGATGAATTAAACTTGAGTCAATCTCTCTTATTTCACCCCAAGTGAAGAATATAAGCATGCACAAAATGAATTTTTGATGTGGTGTGAAACATAATTTGATAAAAATTCCCCTGACAGAGAAGATGACACATGTCACGCCCCGGACCTACCAGACACGTCAACAACCCGCCGTACAGTACGGATAGCCAACCGCAATCCAACTCATCCATACTATACTAGGCGTCTTGAATACCATTCACAGTAGTACATCCATAAACAATCATAATGTAAAATATTTAATTAAGCAGCGG